CAAAATAAAAGCTTAAGTGAATCAATGTTTGCAATACAATACCCGCGACAAAATTTGAGCCCTGATTTGGCTTCATTCAAAAGCACAACAGTATCGATACGCGCATCGCCAGGAGTTCATGACGATATATCGTTGTATCGATATTTTGAGCACAGCCCTACTCACAACCTTTTTTGCATCATGATTCCATGAACTGAAACGAGAATTGTGAGGCGTCTAAACATTCCCACCCCTATTTATATGTTTAGGCTCTTCTAGCATTTTCAACATAGACTGTATTAAATATGGACGTAGCGTTTGTGACGTCACCCGTAGTGTTTCTGAGGAGCGTTTTGAAGCCCAAAGTGGGCGGAGCCGGCCGTCGCCATCTTGGCTGCGAGTCACTGCGATAAACGAAAACGGGCAAATGGCGATACACTACGGATTGTTTCAAGGTGGCTTTACATTAATAAACACTGTTGATGTTGTAAAATTCATCAATTATGAAACAAATTCAATTTCAGCTGTAAAGCAGCGATACAGAAGACAATAGAGTTAGTATTCTAGTCCTTTGATCTTTTTAAAGGACTATAGAGGTGATGCCAACTGAAGAAAGAACAAGACGTACCACTTATGAAACATTATGTTTTGCGTATTACTACTAAAGCACTCTCTCTCTTCAAGTTGAAGATGAAAACTGCACGAGTGTGAGTGAGGAGAGTCCCGATGACACATCCCGTTAGTCAGCATCGCGCTGACCACATTAGCTGAGCACGAGTCTTACTCATACACAAATGACACGGTTGTGACACACTGCACTATCACTATCAGTTTAAAGTCATTTCAACACTCATTTCATTTCAACATAAAGTCATTTCAACTCAACAGCAGACACAGGCTCTCCGACACTGTTGGATATTGTTGCACAGTTCACACGAAGATGCACCCATTCAAGAGTGGTTATTATCCAATACATCATCGATCAATCATCAATCATCATTCTCCTTTCCATTCAGGAGCACAGATACTTGTTTTCAGCTCCATGAATTAAATTAAAAAAATATCTTCACAAGTGAAAAGCTGCATTTTGTTTCTAAGCAATGAGGTGATAATGTTGCTGTTTCTGAATTACACTCACAGCTTGAGGTTTGTATAGAGACGCAGGTAATCACACGCGCACATTCATTGAATTAATTCAAATAAACCTAAACTTACTTTTTACAGAATTCTAGATCTAATGACCGAGATAAAATCAAATCAACCACGTTACTCGTATCAAAAGCGATCACCTGTGGAGTCCTTCTAGTTTTGATTGAGATTAATGTAAACAGATGTCAGATATGAGCGAGATTTTAAAGTCCCGCTGTGGTGAAAAATAGTTGCATATCCACAGAACCACGGACACTAAATGAGGCAAGGGTGTCGAGTTACATTCAAGATATTTAAAGACATTTTTTTTCACCAGACTTTTCTTTTTTTAAATATGTCATTTTGATGGTCCCTTTAACACGTTATGTTGACTATAAGTAACATTGGACCAACATCTCTACTAACTCTCCTTATAGTGTGTTGAGTATTAGTAAAGTATTAGTAGAGTATTAATAGAGTATTAGTAGAGAAGAGTATTAGTAGACTGGTAGGGTTAGGGTTAGAAGTTGATATGTAGTTGCAAAGTTACTTATAGTCAACAGAATACCTGTTGAAGAGCATCACAATAAAGAGTCAACAGATATTAAGCAGACAGTCTACTAATACTCTAGAAATACTCCACCAATAATCAACTAATACTCTACCATTACTCTATCAATACTCTACTAATAAGCTACCAATACTCCACCGATACTCCACCGATACTCTACCAATACTCCACCGATGCTCTACCGATATTCCACCGATACTCCACCAATACTCCACCGATACTCTACCAATACTCCACCGATACTCCACCAATACTCCACCGATACTCTACCAATACTGTAATGCTCTGCCAATACTCCACTAATACTCCACCGATACTCTACCGATATTCCACCGGTACTCCACCAATACTCCACCGATACTCTACTAATACTATACTAATGCTCTACCGATACTCTACCAATACTCTACCGATACTCTACCAATACTCTACTAATGCTCTACCGATACTCTACCAATACTCCACCGATACTCCACCGATGCTCTACCGATATTCTACTAATGCTCTACCAATATTCCACCAATATTCCACCAATATTCCACCAATACTCTACCGATGCTCTACCGATACTCTACAAATGCTCTACCGATACTCTACAAATGCTCTACCAATACTCCACCGATACTCTACCGATATTCTACGATACTCTACTAATACTATACTAATGCTCTACCGATACTCTACTAATAATCTACTAATATTATACTAATGCTCTACCAATACTCCACCAATACTCTCCCAATACTCTATCAATACTCCACCGATACTCTACTAATGCTCTACCGATAGTCTACAAATGCTCTACCAATACTCTATCAATACTCCACCGATACTCTACTAATGCTCTACCGATAGTCTACTAATGCTAGGGCTGTCGCGGTAACCGCAATATTGTAGTACCGCGCTTCTGACAAGTCAACCGCAGAGGATTGCACGCAACCGCAGCAACCGCGATATTCACGTTTTTTTTTATAAGGCTATACCCTTCTTGTTTTGAACTTAACGCATGTGAGTCACGCATTGAATCAATGCTATATTGGTCTCTATGTGAAGCATCAGCTTCAGCGTTGCCCATGCGACGCTGCTCAGCTGAGCCTTGAAAAGTTGAACCTCAAAGTTAAAAATAATTAACATTTTGTTTCTTTACATCTCATTTAATGAATCGGCTTTTTTAAACGTTGAATGAACGGTTCAATGACTCGCTCAAAGTGCGTTGTCATAACAATATGCGCGCTGAGTACTGTGTAGACGCTGTTTAGTTTCGGTTACATTGGGTTACTGAAAATGTCCTCGTTTTTGTCCACATCGTAAACTTTATTTATATAGCAACAAATACATAAATTAAATAAGTAAATAAATAAATAAATGGCGGTAATACCGCATATCGCGCTATTGAGCCACTCAACATCACCGCAAGGGAAATTCCATAACCGCGACAGCCCTAACTAATGCTCTACCAATACTCCACCGATATTCTACCGATACTCTACTAATACTCTCCTGATACTCTACTTGTACTCTACCAAAAGTTAGTTGATTTGTTGTTACTTAGTCAACAGAATGTTGAAAAGGGACCCTCGAAATAAAGTGTTAGCCACACTTTTAACTGTTCATGACATATGGAGAAGCACAGACGCAGTGACAGCAGAAACTGGTGAACCATCGAAGCTTGACTGACATTCAGCGGCCCAGACGAGTTTCAGTCTGACAGGAAACGACACCAAAGACACGCGTTCTGCTCTAGTTTGCATCTCTTGTTTACTTTCTCACTGCTGATCACTTCACATATGAGCTGACTATTCACATATGGCCTGTCTATTCATGTTCTCTAAAATACATTTTTTGGGGGGGAATCAAATAACTCCCCTGATATCATCAAGAAAAAAGTCTGAGTTTTGTATTATCTCTTAGGAAAAAAACAATATCTTAGTCTAAGTTTCACTGCTTATATTTTGTGCGCCAAATTCAATGTCATGTGGTGCAACTCTCGAAAACACTGAATGACATTTACTAATTAAGAATTTCTGATAATTGTTTGAATAAAAAACTTAAACCGTTTCAAAAATTCTGATTAAGATGTGCACACACACACACACACACACACTCCATGTAAAAGAATGTTAATTTCTCTACTTGACATTCATTCCAATTAAAACTTTAAAAAAGCATATTATACAAACCTTTTTTTTTTCTTCTGTATTGATTTAGAATTAGGACAGAAGAATTTTGCATATAAATAAATATCGATATCTGCCAATAATGTCTTAGTAAGATAATATTTAAATGATTAGTTTATATCAAAAGTAAAAAAAATATTGAGAGATGAACAAATAAACCTTCCTCAAAAGCCTGATGATCATATTTGATACTCGTGATTTTTCTAAAAAAAAATATGTATGATAATCAAGTAAAACCAAGATATTACTAACAATATCAAAGTTATTCTTATGTTTACTTGATTAAATCAGTGCAGATTCGACAGCAGACACACACGAGCTGAAGGAGGACGTTTGTCCAAATACACTAGTCTCATAAAATCAATAGTTTTGATCATGTTGATCCTTTAGAGGCCTTAGAAATACAAAATGTGATACAGTGGGCATTATTGGGTAGTTTAATGTTTGGCCTTGGATGTTCAATAAACATGTGCATATGTTGACCAACACATTACACTGACCAGCTGACAAAAACAAAGTACATCCACAGTGAACAAAGAGAGGATGAGCTCTCACCTGCCACACACACACACACACAGTACAGTACAGTCTCTGCTAACTAACGGCACAAAGCCTCGTGTCCAAGAACTGAGGAGTGTGTCCAACAGATTACTGAGAAGCCTAACTGACAGACAGATCATATCAGCGGAAGAAACTCAACAACACACGAGCGTGTTGAACTTCACTCGACTTCATTTCTCAGACATTAGACCACAAAACCAGTCGCATATCTCTCAGGTATATCAGTGGCAATAGCCAACAACACACAGTATGGGTCAAAATGATCGATTTTTATTTTTATGCCAAAAAGCTCATGTTCCATGAAGATATTTTGTACATTTCCTACCGTAAATATATCAAAAATGTATTTTTGTGAGTGGATGCAGCAAAAACTTTCTCAAATGTTTACATTTTTTTTGCACCCCAAGGTGTATCTCGGCCAAATATTGTTCTATCCTAACACACCATACATCAACGGAGAGCTTATTTACTCAGCTTTCTGATGAGATATACATCTCAATTAAACAAAATGTACCCTTGTGAATGGTTTTGTGGTCCAGGGTCACATATAAACTGTAGAAAGGATCTTATATCGGAGCTCTTACCGCGTCCGAGGCGTCCTGGGCGTCTACGATGAGTTGTCGTTCTCCTCCGGCGTTCACCTTATGGAAGCGGCGTCGCGAGTGTCTCTGAGGTCCGTGTCTCTGCAGAGCGTCGTCGTCGCTCTCGCTGGCGTTCTCCACCTGTGAAGAAGAGCCGGCGTCAGAAGCCTCGGGGTCTTGGTTGAACATCCAGTTCTTCCAGACCACCGAGAGCCTGTGCAGGCGCAGGAGACTCATGTGGACGGCATTCGTGGAGTCACGGGCCGAGAGAAAGCGAGTGTGTGTCGGGTCGAGGAGTTTAACACACAGCAGAGCTGCAGTCAGGCCGCAGCTTCCTGTAGGAAACCGTAAATACACAAATATCCTCTGCGAGCTGAAGCAACACGAGCCTCTGAAGCGTCTGTCTACATTAGTGCGGGTGCATTTGAAAAGCGGCGTTTTTGTTTAAAGCACTCGCCAGAAAACACTAACTACGCGACTGCTCGCATGTTTTGCCGAAATGTGTGCAGGACTGTGATATGAAGAGTGTGTGAAGGAACATGTTTGTGAGAAAGTGAACAGCTCATAACCGGCACGATACCGACATAAACTTGAATATCTCTAGGTACAACACGCGTCACATGACTAAACTTACGTCATCGTTTTTAAATACCTGCGTTCTGACAGTCCACAATACAACACGAAAACAGCGTTTACAAATTTATCCACTTTGGAGAGTTTTCAAAAAGCTTTGTTTTCATTAATAAAAAAGCTCTTTTATATTTTAAGAGTTGTCCGGACGGATTTCCCGGGTAAACTGCGTACTTTCGTCATTCGTCCGTGTCTGTTTATATATAGGCGATACGGTCAGGCTACTACTAGGGATGCACTGATATGAAAATTTTGGCCGGCCCAATACCGATAACTGATAATTCTATATATTTGAAAGCCGATAACCGATATATCGGCCGATAAATTTAAATCCAAATTTTCATCTAATTTTGAGAGCCTGATTACAAAAACAAAAGTCTCCCAAGCGCACGATTATAATGATGTTCTCATTATAGTGTTGTATAGACGATATGACAGATTTGCGCTGCACATGTTGTACCAAACCATATTTTCATTTTTTTAAAGAGATTTTCAAGAAAATCAAAAACATAAACAGTGCTCAACAGGTCTCTCAGCTGAAGGGAATAATACATTATTTATCGGCTTTAATATATAGGCCACATTTTCTTACCAGGCCGATAACGATAACATTAAAAATGAACATATATCGCCCGATACCGATATTCTGGCCGATATATCGTGCATCCCTAGCTACTACTATATGCAGTAAACACAGGTGATGCCACAACAGCTGAACCTCGAAACCAAAAAGAGTTCGCAAACATAAAGGGAAAGTGCTAGTATTTGTGAAACTAAAGCCGCCAGTAGGTGGCAGTGTCATAATAAGTGAGTCATTGAATCATTCATTCAACCAAAATTATACCAACAAAATCCATCTTACCATTTATCAAAATCCATTTACACTGCAATTACAATTGCCTAAATAATGTTATGAGATTAGATTAATATTCTAAATATAACATTTCTATATAAAGAAATGTTGGCGGAAAATGAAATGTTACTATTATATATATATATATAACTAAAGCCGCCAGTAGGTGGCAGTGTCGTAATAAGTGAGTCATTGAATCATTCATTCAACCGATTCATTCAAACCAGCTGATTCATTCATGAAAGAAGCAAGTGTCCACTGACTTTATGACTGAGTCATTGAATCATCGACTCACTCGATTTGTTCAAAAACGGGGAATCATTCGAGAACGAAACACCGCTATGTGTTGCTGGGAAACTTTTCTGCTTTGTTTTAGACTACTTTCAGCGGCAAAATAAGAGTAAAACAGTCAAAATTGACAAAGTTGTGTCTAAAAATGATCACCTTATTCTTTATTGAATTGATGTACAAAATGACCATCACATTTGCAATCGTGTTGATATTCGAGAAAACAGCGCTCTTGCTTTGTGTGATATTGCTTAATTATACTATTATACTATATAAAATATTCAAGGGCAATTCATATCCTGAAATTTGGGGGAGTTTTTAATAATTTTGGTGACGTTTACGAGCTTAAGTCAACACTGTCAAACAACATCATTGGGAGAGCCTCGTGTGGTCTCGCAAAATTATAAAGATTACGCTGGTGGGAACTTTTGCTTAATTGAGAAATTTAAACAAAAACTAAAATATGGACTAAAAACAAGTCTAGCAAAAAGGGCAGAGGGGTCTATCTGTGCTTCGGCCTAATGCTTGTCATCTAAAAACCTTGACAGATAACTCAAAATAAGGACGAGTTTAGGACGACAGCTAAACATGTCCATAAATCAGCAGAAGACGAGGGTGGAAACAGTGTGTGAGGATCTCAGAGGGACCCGCTGGGGTGTGTGTGTGTGTGTGTGTGTGTGTGTGTGTGTGTGAGAGAGTGGTGTCGCCCTCTGCAGGTCAGGGGGAGAATCACACCACACTTCAGAGAGCCAAACTTAATTATTAATGAATTAATTCTAACACTTCAGTAAAAACCTGTTGATTAGTAAATCCCTTAACAAATGCGGTGAAAAACTAATAGATCTAATGGGATATTCAATGTAATTTCTCAGCAAAATACTGTTAAAATGTACAGTTTTAGCAAGAACAATTATTCTTATAATTTACAGTGAAAAACCATAAATAGAAATTCCCAGAATTCCCTGTGTGGCAGCTCACTTTAGATGTTCTTTCTTAGTTTCTTCTTCTAAGTTATACATTGGGGTTTAATGCTGCCTCTATGAATGTTGTTAAATGAATGTTTATTGCATTATTTTAGTGTCATGTTTGTATTTGTGTGTATGAAATACAGGTGAAACTAAAAAAAATTGAATATCGCGCAAAAGTTCATTTATTTCAGTAATTCAACTTAAAGGTGAAACAAATATATTATATATTATATACATGCAAAGTGAGATACTTCAAGCCTTTATTTGTTATAATTGTGATGATTATGGATTACAGATATGAAAACCCCAAATTCAAACTTAGAAAATTGTGAAAAGGTTTCATATCTGTAAACCATAATCATCACAATTATAACAAATAAAGGCTTGAAATATCTCACTTTGCATGTAATGAGTCTATATAATACTGTATATTAGTTTTGGAAGTTGGAATTACTGAAATTAATGAACTTTTGCACCATATTCTATACAGAGTTTCACCTGTATATTAACCTTATATCAGATAATTAAACATATGGGGTTTTTCTAACCGTAAAATATTGCTCCCATATTTTCACAGTACAGATCTGGCAACCCCACCTGCCGTTTCTACAGTAAAACTGCCCTTGGTTTTTACAGAACGCTCAACTGTGCATGTGACGTAAAAGCAGACTTTATAAGCTTCTTCATAGGTGTAATTAAAGCTTGTGTGTTTCAGCTCTGCTCAAACCCAAACGCTTGTAAGTCTCGTAGGATAAAAGTGTCTATTAATGGGAAAATCCAGTCCAGATAGTGGACGAGTCGGAGGAATGTTGATCATAAATTACGCTTTTATTGAAACCTATCAATAAAATGCTGACTATTCCAGCCAATATATGTGTGCTTTGTGATGCGTGTGCTTCTTCTTCGGTGCTTTTCGGTTTAATACTCTCACTTTGATAACATTTCATTAAACTATCCTCACCTCACAGAAGAAGGTCTGCACGGCAACCCGTCCTAATAAAGATTTGGTTTAACTATTGGTTGCAATACTATTAAACATAATAATAATAATACAATTATTATTAAAACTAATTTTCTTCCATGTTTTAATTTTAACAGTGAACCACTGTTGAGTAGCACTTGTTTGTTTGTTTTATACTTTTTTAATTATAAAAAAGGACAGCCAATGAGAGAGCTAGATTACTTCAGGACAGCCAATGGGAGAGCTAGAACAGAGATGACTCCTGAGCTTTCATTTTCAGTGAGAGTTCATGACCATCAGCCCATGCAAGATAAAGCTCATATAATGGTTCATTTCCTAAACCACGCCGGAGAACGACAGATAAGACAGTATATTATTACACACACACACACACACTCCAGCTCTACCCTGTGGAGACACTGATTTTTTTTCACTGAGAACTGAATGTAAATATTTTGACCACACATAATTGCATGTATTTGCAATTAATTGAAAATGTATTAGAGATTCAATTTATATTAAATGCAACTTTAAAGTGTTTTTTGACCCAGTAGTTTTGACCCATTACTTTTGAAATAAGTTTAAAGTGCACTGCTGACAAGCATTTATGGTTCAATAAAATGCACTTTAACTTCTTTGTCATCATGTATTTAAGCATATGTGTAATCGCAAAATTATAATGATGAAGTAGCAAAGGTACATTTAAAATATATTAACTTAATAAATGGTTACTTTGTTTACGCATACACACACATACCCACACTCACACCCACTCACATACACACTTAGATCAAACACGTAAATCACTCTATGTCACTTCTGGAATTACAAGATGGCTCACTACTGCACTATGTTGGTTTGTATGTATGTTTGACTGTTTAATAATAAAAAAAATGTGTATATATATATATATATATATATATAAATTAATACATAAATAAATAAAGAGAAAGACGAAAAAAAATGTTTTAATAAAATATATTAACTTTGAATGTAATATCGAATAACACATTACAAATCCAAGTACTTTTAGGTGTGCTTTAGTATGTCAACACAACAAACTTAATTTGACATTATTATAAAGTCTACCGTTTAAACGTCATGTATGTTTTTTACATTAATAGTTTGTTGGAAAAATGAGTTTCAAAATCCTCGAGCCAATCTGCAGTTTCTGTGTTTACTCACTTTGCTGGGGAAGTTCATCTGCGCGGATTTAGCGCAAATACACAACTTGTGATCCTCAAGATATATTAAATACAGCGTAATGCACAGAATCTGCTCATTTCTGGCTCACTTGAACACACACAGACACACGTCACTACGCAACAAATAACGGTGCACATGTTAACTTGCATTGAAGTAATAGCGAATATTAAAAAGTAGAGCCAGACCGATATATCGGCAGACCAATATTATCGGCCGATATTAGGCATTTTCCAAACTATCGGTATCGGCAGTTATAATGGCCGATAAATTAATATTTCAAAAATAAAATAAAAACGGACGAAACACGCTTGAACCATGTCATGGGTTTTGGAGTTGTATAGTTTGTCCACCAGAGGGCACTCTACACCGTTCCTGTTGGCAACACTCGTTGAGTTGGTCACAAGACATACATTGCTTGAATAACAATTAAAAGAACATCCCCATCAGTTCTCTTAACTCAAATAAGCATGACAAAATTTGTGACTAATCATCTCCAGTTTAAAAATAAATAAATAAATAAATAAAATATCGGCCGATATATCGGATTTTAAAACCCAAAAATATTTGTATCGGTATCAGCCTTCAAAATCCTTTATCGGTCAGGCTCTATTAAAAAGCATTGGTTAACAGAAAAGAGCATCCTACATGTTCTGTGTGCTGTACTGATCTGTCCTAAAACACATTTTTAGTAAAAAAAAAAAAAAAAAATTTTAAAAAGCTGTTAAAATCGATTGCCTATTTTTGTTTTCAAAACTTGTGTTGGTTGGTCCGACCGATTTGCAATGGATTTTCGAACGTAAAGTGTCAGTGCTAGCAGTCAGTGGCACCGCGAGGATCGCGCGGGGGAGATTACTCGCGACGCCGGCTGATTTGAAAGTCTGCTGTAATTTTATGTAAACATTGCCTTAGTTACACTATTAATCTCATACAATATACAGAGTAACGATAGCACTGAAACTTCACTAACATTAGCTTGCATTCGTTTGGGAACCTGATAGCTGAAGTTAGCAATGAAATGGTATGAAAATAGCGAAAACGTAAAAGTTCATAACCTACATTTTGCTGACTAAATAACTAAATGCAATTTGTAATAGTTTTCTAAAGTAACTTCATCACTTGAAGGAACACTCATGGACGAAGGCGGACGAAGGCGAAGGAGCAATACGGCCGTTAAAACGCCCAGGGAATGCGGCTAGAAAGTGATATTCAGTTGGTGGTCATATACAATTTGATGATGGGAGAAAAACTTGCACAGTGTAGCTTTAATTTCTTTTCGACTGAAGAAAGAAAGACATGAACATCTTGTATGATGTGAGTGAGATTAAATGATCAGGAGATTTTCATTCTGAAGTGAACTGATCCTTTAAGGAAGCATGTTTTGGCTACTTTAGTCTATGTGCCGTCAGTCTGAACGTCGACGTGTGTGTAACGTGCCACTCACCACAATCATCTCAGACGGCTCTAAAGTGATGCATTCACAGCCTCTTCTTCCTCCACGCTGAGTCCCAAAACTGCAGACACACACAGAGACACGAATCAGGGCAACAAATCTCACGCACATATCAATTCTCAATCAGAAAAACATGTTTTTATTTCCACAAACACAGTCACTAATGCCCAACTGAGCCTTCGCTGGGAGTTTGATTGACAGGTGATCTGACCAATCATAATCCTCCATCCACCGAATCCGCCATTTTGTCAGACAAAGCCGTCAGGAGAGTTAGTAGATTAACGTTGGAGGATTTGAACTTGAGAAACTGTGTGTGCTGACGTCTTTCCACGGTTAAAACAACATTCCTTCTGATGTTCATTCATGTTTATTTGATGCTCTAAAGAAACTAGAACGAAGAGATGATCGGATCACGAGCGGCTTTAACGGAGCGATCTGTCACACACATTAAAGAGACACAAAACGCTATTTATTAAAAAGAAATCTTTAAAAAATTACTAAATTTGAAAGTTGAGACTTTGTTTCATATCAAAAGTATCCTGATTTGACGCTTTAAGCTTGACGTCGACAAGTTGCTGATCATAAAAAATTATCGCAACAAATAGATAGATACAAAAACTTAGATAGATAGGTTAATTTCGTTTGTTGAATGAACCAAATGACACGAAAAAAGATTTGTTCATTTTGATGAACGAGTTCGAACAGGAGAGTCACAAACGCGCATCACAGAACAGAGCAAGGCGAGCATTTGAGCTTATAAAACTTAAACTTTATTATTTATTTATTAAATGAGCGATCGTTTCGCTTGATAAGACCCTTATTCATCGTCTGGTGTCGTTTAAAGTCCTTTGAACAGTTTGCACTGAAACTGTCTTTTGGACCTTGAACCGTTTGGTTCCCATTGAAGTCCATTATACGGAGAAAATCCTGGAATGTTTTCATCAAAAACCTTAATTTCTTTTCGACTGAAGAAAGAAAGACATGGACATCTTGGATGACATGGGGTGAGTGAATTATCAGCAAAAGTGTTTTCAAATGTGAACTACTCCTTTAATGCCTTAATTTAAAAAAGGAGGAGAAATCCAACCTTAAAGGACACCAATTAATTTTTAATGTATTGTAAATAAATAAATAAATGTTCTTCCTTAAAATACCGGGTGCATAAGTCAGGACACCCCTGTGTTAAACCCCTTATAGAGTCAGACACATTTATATCTTTAAAGGCCAGTTATTTCATGGATCCAGGACACTATAATCCTGATAAAGTTCCCTCGGCCTTTGGGATTAAAATATCCAAAATCATCACACACCCTTCACCACACCTAAAGATCGGCATGGTTTTATTTAGTTAGCCCAATAGCTGGTTTGATTAGCATTGAGAGATGATCTTATGGAAAGTACAACAAGCTCATTTCTAACTAATCTTTCTTTCTTTCAAACCAACTTCGTTTCTTTCTAACTAATCTTTATTTTTTCTTTCTACCTACTCTTTCTTTCAAACCAACTTCTATTTTAATTCAAAGGCTAGGGGAATTTTTTAACTTTAACTTTATAAGTCATATTGAAATGGTCACAAAGGAATCAATAAGAGGAATCTAAATTTTGATTTTATAACAAGCATCCGATTCCTGACCTCGAGTATATTATAACAAGTATTTTCGATCCCCAACCCTATCCATGGCTCAGGCGGTGCTTGTCATCAGTGTTGCCATGAAATAGACTTTCAGTTTCTCTCTCAGTGCAGACGTGTGTGTATTGTGTGAGCAGAGCCAGGCGGGGTCAGAGGTCAAGTGTGTTTGACATCTTTTCACACTCCAGTGAGCCTGAAGTCTGCCGTCAGATGAAGGGAAAAGAGTGTTGGAGCTCATGCACTCCTCTCTGTGGATCAGCACTGGTCCTACAGCCACTGTCAGCTCAATCATCTCCTGCCAAACTCCCTGGACCTCCTTACTGGTGCTTACTGGGTCA